CTCCGCTGCACGGATTGGTTGGATGGGGTCCCTGTCGCAGTTTGTATTCCCGAATAAACCTTACTTTTGCAGTTGGGTGTGATTGACTCTCTGGGGGTCTCTGCGGGTATCTAATGATCTGGGCGCGACAGTGACCAACAAATGTCCCCTTCTGTCATTAGTGTCCAAGAGATACCTAGCATGTGCACAGATCAATGGAAGAGTGAATAGATGATGGATTGAGTGGAAAGATGGAGCAATGGAAGAGAGGTAGATGGATGGTTGGATGGATGAAGATTTGGTGGGCAGATGCATGGATAAAAGGATGGGTGAGTGGATAGATGGTAGTTAGGCTGGATGTATTATAGGTGGGGAGATTGATGGCTGAGTCACGGAGAGATTCCTGAAAGATCAGATGTACGGGTAAATGGAAGCTTAGTGATTGAATGGGGATGTGAAGGACAGTAGGTGTGTCAGTGGTTGGCTGTGTGAATGTGGGTAGGTGGATGGATGAAGAAATGGAGGAAAGTAATATATGGTGTTTGTAATGTAGAGGTAATGTAATGTAAGATTGTAATGTAGATTGTAATGAAGAAAGTATTGTATGGAAAGTGAATAGGGTGATTTATGAAAGGGTGAGCAGGTCAGTGAATGGTTGCTAAGCCCCAAGTGTTGGTGGGATTTGCCTCTTGGTGGCATAGAACAGGTGTGGTCTCTTGTTCATAGAAGTGAAATGAATTGGATGAGAAGTTGGAAATATTTGGGAAAATGGAGAGGAACTTCAAGGATAATAGGAGACCAAGGCAGTTTTCAATGCTCAGATGTTATGAGAAAAGCCCTGTGAGAGGGATCTTGGTGAACAGTCAGGCAGCGGGAGAATTCAGAAGAGAGTACATCAGGGTGACTTGACTAAGCCACAGCACACATTACTGACCTCCTGCTTTATTTATTTTTCTTGCAATGTGTCTTTTACCACCCTCCAATCTCCAGTAAGGTCAGGTGAGTCTCATTGAGAACCAGTTCTGTAAGTTATTATATGGGCAGAGAACAGACAAAATCTCTGTATATTGAGATATGGTCTGTGAGGAGAACTTCTCGAAAGAAGAGTCCATCTGCCCTGTGAGTAAGGCCCTGTCTGGTGACGCTTGTCTGTTCTGGGCTCCATTCCTTATCAGTCTCCCCAAAGTAACCCCTTTCCTGGCCCAGCCCAACATGAGGGCATCTGCAAGAAGCAGCCTAAGCCGACACTGTGGCTCACTAGGCTAATCCTCCACCTAACGGTGCCAGCACACCGGGTTCTAGTCCTGGTCGGAGCGCCGGATTCTGTCCCGGTTGCCCCCCTTCCAGTCCAGCTCTCTGCTATGGCCCGGGAGTGCAGTGGAGGATGGCCCAAGTGCTTGGGCCCTGTACCCCATGGGAGACCAGGATAAGTACCTGGCTCCTGCCTTCAGATCAGCGCAGTGTGCCGGCCGCAGCGCGCTGGCTGCGGTGGCCATTGGAGGGTGAACCAACGGCAAAGGAAGACCTTTCTCTCTGTCTCTCTCTCACTGTCCACTCTGCCTGTCAAAAAATAAAAAAAGCAGCCTAAATCAATGCACATTTTCATTGCATATTTTAATTTCCTAATTGAAGTATGACATAACTACACAAGAGTGTATAATTCATAAGTCATTAGTTTGATACCCTTCCCACACTCCCAAAACATGTTACCAGCACCCCCAGAAGCCCCACTTCATGCCCGGTTCTTGTCACCTTCACTTTTAAGCACCTTAGATTCTTAGTTTATATTAATAGAATTATAGCTAGCACTCTTTTGTGTATTAATTTTATATATGTGAGACCCATACATGCTGTAACACATAGTTAAGGTATTTTCATTCTCATTGCCATATAGTGTGCTGCCATAAGAACTCAATTTTATTATCAATTCTGTGCTGGGGAGGTATTTGCGTAGTTTCCGCCTGGAGATATCTGAGTAGCAGAGCTGTGCACATCTTTTATTTCTCTTCGTAGCAGAGATGAACACTCTGTCTTTCATGGTACATGTCCTAGAAAGTCACGACTAGCATTGCAGGATAGAAAGGGGTGTGGTCACCTTCCTCCCAAGTTAGCAAACAGCCTGCATGAGAGGTTGTATCCTCACCAACGCTCATTCTGATCATTTTGCTAGTGTGGTGGTTTATGATTTTTATTTGCATTTTCCTGATGACTGTATTTTCATATGTTATTGTCATTGGAGATCTGTGAAGTTTCTGTTCTAGTTTTTTTTTTTTTTTTTACAGACAGAGTGGACAGAGAGAGAGACAGAGAGAAAGGTCTTCCTTTGCCGTTGGTTCACCCTCCAATGGCCGGCGCACCGCGCTGATCCGATGGCAGGAGCCAGGTGCTTCTCCTGGTCTCCCATGGGGTGCAGGGCCCAAGTACTTGGGCCATCCTCCACTGCACTCCCTGGCCACAGCAGAGAGCTGGCCTGGAAGAGGGGCAACCGGGACAGAATCTGGCGCCCTGACTGGGACTAGAACCTGGTGTGCTGGCGCCGCAAGGTGGAGGATTAGCCTAGTGAGCTGCGGTGCCAGCCTGTTCTAGTTTTTTTTGTTTTTTTTTTTGTTTTGTTTTTTTTTTAAGATTTTGTTTTTCTGTTATGTTGCCTGACTTTTTCTTGTAGTAACTCTTTGTATATTCTGGATATAAGTTTTTTTCTGGATATAAGTATTCTGGATATAAGTATTTTTATATTCTGGATATAAGTTCCCTGTTTTACATAAGGACTGGGTCCTATCTTATAGGTATAAAAACTGAGCTGTAAAACTGTACAGTATAGGTGTAAAAACAGAGGTGTAAAAGCAGAGACAGAAAGTGAGTAGGTGAAAGTGAGTGATACAACCTGGGCCCAGCCATTCCGGTCACTACAGCATCCTCCATGTGGCCGAGTCTCCTGAGCAGGCCTCTGTGGGCTAAACTGTTCCATACATGGCGGCATGGAGTGGAGAGGAAATTGTTAGGACCGTAAAGCCGCTGACAGTATTCCACCACATGGGCCTGCTGTGTGGCCAGCTACTCCTGGTCTTTTTATCTTCTGAGCTGGTGTTGTCCTCTGTAATGGGGGATTCTGAAGCCTCCCTCATGTGGTTGTTGAAAGGATGGTGTATTGGGTGGATTAACATCCCCCAACTTTTTTTCTTCCTGGGAACCTCTGAGTTTGACCTTAGTTGGAAATGGGGTCTTTATAGATGTACTTCATTAAGAATCTCAGGATGAAAACACCTTTTGGGTAAACCCTAAATCCAATGACTGATGTCCATATGAGAAGAGAGGCCAGTTTCAGACATTTGATGAGTGGTTACGAGGCTACTTGTGTTGCCACAGCCATGTTAGGGTGCCTGTGTTTGATTTTAATTCCAGCTACTTGCTCATATGTACCCAGGGAGACAGCAGTGATGGCTCAGGTAGCTGGGCCCACACCACTCAAGTGGGAGATTTGGATTCAGTTCCCAACTCTACCTTTATCTGGCCCATCCCTGCCTTTCAAGAGCTTTAGGCAAGTGGACTTAGAGATGGAAGATCTTTCAGTCATTCTTTGTCTCTGTCTCTCTCCAACTCTCAAATAAATAAAAAGGAAGGTATTAAAAAGAAGAGCATCCATGGAGACACATAGAGGTAAGAAATTCCCATGGAGACAGAGGCAGAGGCTGGAGTGATACAGTCAGAAGCCAAGAAACACCGACAGCAACCAGAAGTAAGCAGAGGTGAGGAATTCCTCCTGCAGCCTTTTTAAGGTGGAGTGACCTTGATAACCCCTTGATTTTTGACTTCTGGCTTCCAGAATCACGAGAATCAGTTTCTCCTATTTCCAAATTACCTACTTAATGACAACTTATTATAGCAAGCTTTTATAACTGAATACATTTAGCTAAATCATACCACTAGCAAACAACGGATTGAAATCTAGAACCTGGTGTTTGCTGTCCCCACTCTGAACACTGAGACACCCTGGCAGTGGGAAGGGTCTATTGGCAATTTAGTTTTTATAAAAAGATTTGTTTATTTAATCTGAAGTCACAATTGCAGAGAGAGAGGTAGAAACACAGAGAGAGGGCCTTTCACCTACACATTCACTCCCCATATGGCCACTACATCCAGGGCTGGGCCAGGCTGAAGCCAGGAGCCAGGAACATCATCAGGGTCTCCCATCTGGGTGGCAGGGGCCCAAATGCTTGGGCCACACTCCACTGCTTTTACCTGTCTCATTAGCAGGGGGTTGGATGGGAAGTAGAGTAGCAGGGATTTGAACTGGCACCCATAAGGAAGGCTAGCACTGCAGGTAGTGCTACACACAGTGCCTGCACCAGTGACTTGGTTTTCATTACTTCCAAGTTAGCTTGCTAGGCTACAGGGAGGGCCCTCAGCTCCCTGCCCTCCTCGTGGGAGGAGGTTCCAAGTCTGTTGGTTTCCTGTCCCTACACCCCTCATTGCTTCTTTCAGGCTGTCTCACCTGGGCCACCTCCTGAGAGTCTGCTGCACGCACAGGCAGAGCAAGGGACCTGCTGAGTGCAGTGCTAGGGCCTGGACCTCCTCTCCAGCGTGGCCCTGCACCTGCCTTCTCCTGAAAAGGTCATGTGGTGTCTCAGGGCCAGTGCCCTTGACAGTGCACCTGATGGACACACCGTCATGGACCCACAACCCTCCCCTCCTGTTGTTCCTTCCCTGCGTGAGCTGGACTCCTGAGAGTCCAGGCAAATACCCCTGCCCTCCCTCCTTCTTTATTTACCCCATCCATCACCACTGCCTGTCTCTGAGAACCCTCAGGATTCCTCCCCTGCCTGACCTGGTCCCCACCTCCTCTCCAGGGCTCCCTTCTCTGCCCTAAATTGCACCCCGCCCTACCCAGAGTGCCAAACACAGCTCTGAGGAGAGACGTGCTGCGGGGTGACTCAGTGCTCACACTGTGGGCCAGGACAGGCCTGGCTGCAGTCTGTAATCGGTCATCCGCCTGCACTGTGACCTTAGCCACGTTTCCTCACCTGGAAATGGGCTTGCTTCCAGCCTCCACGTCTTAAGGTTCCTACAGAAAAGTAAGCACATTGCTTAACAAGTGTTGGCGCTCCAGTTCCAGATCTTGTCCATCTCCCCGTGTCTGAGCTGCACTTGTTCTTAGTGCCTGTCTCAGACCTGCCCCTGCATAGGGTCCTAAGAAGTGGGACTTTACCCTCTTGGAGCTCCCCAAGGGCCTGGAGACTGCTGGGGTCCTTTGGTGCTTCCCCCACCAGCTCAAAATCCAGGGTGATGTTGGGGACCCCATAGCTCATAGCATTCATTGCACGGCCTGGAGCAGACAGCACCCACTGTGCAGATGAGGCCTGCTGCCGCCTTCTCAGGCTGGGTGGTGGCACAGTGAGAGGAAGGCAGGGGAAAGGCACTCACTGTGGGAGCCCAAGAAGGGAACAACAGGACAGCACAGGCACAGCACTGTCCTCAGGAGGACCCTGATGTGAATTCCCCAGCACACAGTATCCAGTCAGCACCACCTGGGAGCCCAGCGGCTGACACTGAGTGACTAATAGACCTGGAGGGCCAGAGTCCAGGTGTGGGCCACCTGGTTCCTAGTGAGCCCCTCGTGCACATTCCACTCCCGCCTTTCCAGCTTCTCCGGGTTGCAGCACACCCTGGCCAGTGACCTATTCCTGCATCCTCAAAGTGCATCCAGCCAACCTCTGCTTCTGTCCTCACCTTCCTTCTGCCTCTGACCCCTGCTGCCCATCCCCTTAGAAGGACATTAGGGATGGTACCTGAGTACTCCAGGGTCCTCTGCCCTCTCAGGTCTCCCAGCTCCAGCCTGTGTGCAAAGTCCTTCTGCACATGAAGTCACTTAGTCCCAGGTCCCAGGGATGAGGACGAGGACACCCGGAGGCCATCGAGTTGTGATCGCACCAAGTCCCCCTTTCCTCTCCCTGTCAATGGCTTCTTACCTTTTCTTCTTTGCTGGCGTCTTTTTGGTCCTATCTCTGTCTGGTGCCTGCCAACTTGGCACCCTGTGCCTAGCACCAGGCTGGCTCTGTTAACTGCCTGTGGCCTCCTGTGACACCCTAGGTCCTGACACAGCCATCCTCACCTTGTTTGTACAAGCTGCACCCTCCCCCAGTGGGTTGAGGAAGTGTGGTTCTGGAGCCCCTAGTTTGCTACCTTCCCAAAGTCTGGGGACTGGTGAAACAGGCCCATGTGGGTCTGGTCTGCTGGCACTGCGTCTACCCCAGCATCTTTCCCAGGGTCTCCTGCTCAGTGGGCTGGGTTGACAGAATCACGAGGCCCACTCCTTCCCCAGACCCAACATCTGCTCCATCCTACACCAGCCCGTTGTTCACCTGGACCCCACACAGCCCTAGAACTGCGCTTACCTGGCTTCTGCTGCCATTTATCCTCAGGGCATCCCAGAAAGCCTTGACGTGACCTGTGGGCATTCAGCACCTTTCATCCCGTGTCCCAGTGTCCTTGCCTGACACTTCCCCTTGGCTCTTCTACCCACCCTCAAACCAGGTGTGGCAGAGGCAGAGGAAAGCAATGACCCACCCTGCTCCTCTTCTGACCTCTCATGCTCTCCATGCCCGCCCTTCCCTTGGGGTCAGCATCTAGTTCCCTTGTTCAGAAAGGAGACCTTGCAGGAGGACTCTCAAGTGTGGGGTCCCAGGAGAAGAGCAGGTGTGTAGGGGGACACTAAGGGGCGCCGTCAGGGGAGAAGGCTGATTCTGCCTCTCACAGAACGTGCCTGCTATGGGGCACCCAGGCCTGCAAGAAGGAGTGAGACGTCCCACTCAGGACCCACAGTGCAGAGGATCCAGGGCTTTCCTGAGTAGAGAAGCAGCACGGCTAGGGTTTTAAAGGGAAGACTGAACTGCAGTGGACCTCAGGGAGGGAAAGCCTGGGGCGTAGCGTGACTGAGCATGGCTGCGTCCAGAAGCAGGACGTGAGGAAAGGGGTCCTGGCCTGTGACTGGAGGACGAGAGATGGACGTAGGGGCTGGGGTGGTTACCTGAGTGTTACCTCAGCAGCCTGCTCAAGCTCTTGGTGCGTGGATAAGAGGGAGATCCTGTCCTGCTTCTGACAGGGACTGGCCATGTGACGACTGTGAAATGTGAAGAGACCATCAGCCCTGCTTACAAAAGCCTACCGTCCACAGCAGCTCTTCCGCGAGTCTTGTCTTTGGAGATCTTATCAGCACCTAACTGACTTGTGGACAAGAAATGCCAAACTCCAGCACTCTCTTGCATTTCTTCCACGCCATGGGTTGGGGTGAGGGCTACTCAGAGGTACATGTGCAGGTCACAGGATAGTAGCCCAGGTTCAGTAAAATCACAGGGTTATAGAATGCCTCCCCTCCAACACCTCCCCACCTCATCAATAGGGCTCCTGTATAATAACAGATTATAGCAGAAGATACCGCATGGATTGAAACCAGCCCCAGGCCATTGCCAGTTTGGGGAGTGATACAGCACATAGGGGTATGTTATGTTCTCCCTCTCCTTTTCCCCTCCCTCTACTTCTCCCTTCCTCTTGTACCTTTCAAATAAAATGAAAAAAGTTTTTTTCTAAAAAAAGAATATCAATCCCTTTCAGCTGTTCCAAAGAAGTGAAGAGGAGGGAACACTCGTAACTCATGCTGTGAGGGTAGCATTATTATTATTACTATTTACCGAAGTTCTTTCTTTCCTTTTTTTTTTTTTTTTTTGACAGGCAGAGTGGACAGTGAGAGAGAGAGACAGAGAGAAAGGTCTTCCTTTGCCGTTGGTTCACCCTCCAATGGCCACCGCTGCAGCCGGCGCACCGCGCTGATCCGATGGCAGGAGCCAGGATCCAGGTGCTTTTCCTGGTCTCCCATGGGGTGCAGGGCCCAAGGACCTGGGCCATCCTCCACTGCACTCCCTGGCCACAGCAGAGAGCTGGCCTGGAAGAGGGGCAACCGGGACAGAATCCGGCGCCCCGACCGGGACTAGAACCCGGTGTGCCGGTGCCGCAAGGTGGAGGATTAGCCTATTGAGCCACGGCGCCGGCCCTTCTTTCCTTCTTTCCTTCTTTCTTTCTTTCCTTCTTTCCTTCTTTCTTTCCTTCTTCCTTCCTTCCTTCCTAGGCAGAGTTACAGAGAGGCAAAGGCAGAGACAGAGAGGTCTTCCATCTGCTGAATCACTCCCCAAATGGCCACAATGACTGGAACTGGCCTGATACAAAGCTAAGAGCCTGGAGCTTCTTCTGGGTCTCCCATGTGGGCGCAGGGGCCCAAGGACTTGGGCCATCTTCCACTGCTTTCCCAGGCCATAGCAGAGCGCTGGATTGGAAGTGGAACAGCCGGGACTTGAACCGGCGCCCATATGGAATGCTGGTGCTGCAGGTGGCAGCTTTACCCGCTACGCCACTGTGCGGCCCGAAACATTCTCTCGATATCACAACCAAAGCAGCAGTAATTGAAGAAAATGAGAATCTCTGGACACTGCAGGAAGGGGTGTTGGCATCAGAGGTGGAATTCGTCCTTCGGGAGACTGAGATGGGGAGGATGAGAGCCAGCCCAGGGCAGCCTTAGTCATGAATGTTTGTCTGAAGTTAGTGAGAGGCTTGCACACAAGGCACCCATGCTGGTGTCAGGGAACAGAGCTTAGTTAGTGGATTCTGAAGACCTTCACAGGGCCGTGCTGGTCTGGGGACATTGCAGAGCCTGTCTAGGGTAGGAGTCATGTCCTGAGAGCCCCTGTGGGGCCGCCCAGGTTCTTTCCTCCCAGCCCAGGATGCCTTCACAGAAACTTCAGGGCCTGCAAAGGCCTCAGCTGCCCCTCGTGTGTCCCAGGAGCCAGCCCTTCTCTTGTCTGCAGGAGACCTGTCAGCCACTGCCTGTGGTCGACTGATGAGCAGACTCGTGCTGGCCCGCCCTTTTCCCGGCTCCTGGGACAGGATGGGGCACCTGTTAGGACCAGTGAGGGCCACCCCCCAGTGCTGCCCAGGGCACAGAGCCGTCCAGGACCTCCTGCAGTGCTGAGGCCCCCTGTGGAGCAGTCCCCCCTGGTGACTGACAAAGCACAGCCCTTGGCTTTGGCGGCCATCAGTGCTGCTCAGTTTGTCGGCCTCCATTTCCCCAGATGCCACAGCCTCTTATCCCAAAGCCAGCGCTTTCCACCTCCCCAGACCCACACTGAGGAGGGACCAGGCCTGCCAGGAGCCTGCTTCAGGGGAGCAGAAAGGAGCCCCCTCGGGAGGGTGCCCTCTCCAGGCTCAGTTCTCGAACTCTGCTCCTGGGGCCCTCGTCTGACAGCTCAGAAGCAGCTCCCAGGAAGACGTTTATAGGACACAAAGGACAGCGGGGCTCAGGAGGACCCAGAGCAAGGGAGGGCTCGTGTGGGCGGTGATGGTGCGGGGCACTAGCAGCCGGGGTAGAGCGTGTGAACCTGGAGGGAGACGTCGGTCAGGCCCCTGTGCAGCCACGAGCAGGCATCCCCGTCTGTCTTGCCTCACCGCCCTCACCCCGCTGACGCCAGGACAGAGGGCAGCAGAGCAGAGACTATTTCCAATGTAACTTCATTTATTTATACCAACAAAGTCCCAAAGGGATGATTCCACACTCTTGCCCCAGGTCCCTCCACCTGGGGGTCCTACAGTCGCCCTCTTGTGGTGAGGAACAGCAGGGTCAGTACTTTGGGTGCAGGGCAGAGTTAGGGTCCATGTGCTTCAGGATGCACCTGGAGGAGCTGCCCCCAGAGTCCTGGCGCCACCTAGTGGGCTGAATGATGCTTCTTCCTCCTCCTGGTGACCAAGTGGTCACCTTTCCTCTTCTGAGCCTGGGAGTTTCCCATACAGCCCAGAGCCTGGGCCTGCCCTGCAGAAGCCCTGAGCTGAGGCACTGGGCAGGGCTTCTTTTTTGCAGGGCCCTGGCCTCCCTGGAGAGCTTGCTTCCTGGACTTTGCAGCATGTGGGAGGGGTCCCCTAGGGTCCCTTCCGTGGGTAGACAGGGGTTTTGGTGCTCTGCAAGGATTCCCAGCTCCAAGGCAGGGCAGGTCTTCAGCAGAGGCCTCGCTCCCTGCAAAGCCCAAGGGCAGCAGGTGGTGCTGGGAGGCCAGGAGGAAGGAGAGACTGGGAAGTTCCTCCTCGTTCTCACTGGAGTTGTCCAATGGTGTGTGCGAGCCCCCAACAGAGGGTCCTCCTCTGAAACTCCTGGCATCTTCGGTGGCCCCCAGTGAGGGACACTCCCGATGTCCACTAAAGACAGCATTAACCTCAGGCCTGCACAGGGGGGTGTCTGGGACAGCATGTCTCTGCAGGTCTTGGGAAGACATCGACCGGGAGAAGCACTCAGCTCTGGCCCCAAGGCGGGGGCCCTGGTTGTCACTCTCTGCACTTTGTTGGGGTCCAGATTCAGAATTGCTGGGGTTCAGTAGGGGCACACCATGACTGGGGGTGGCCCCCATGGCCCCATCCTCTTTCAAGGAGCAGTGCTTCGCCATCACCTGCAGAGGAAACAGGCCCTTAGTGGTTGTGCCAGGTGTGAGGGAGGCCAGGGAGTGCACAGCAGGTACTCGGGAGGAGGCAGAAAGGCCTGAGTCTCTGGGCTGGTCCCATTGGTGTGAGGGGTTCCGCCTCCACCCACATGGCCTCATTCTAGCCCTGTACCCTAACCTGGAACTGGCTCTTCTGTCTCCTTAACACACGTGTGCACCTGCACCCCACCCGAAGAAGCTCCTCAAGAAGTCATTTTTCCCCAGCAGAGTAGGGGGAGATAAAGTGATCTGGGTCTGCTGTGCTGGGGTCCCCCCTTCCACCACCAGTCTACCTAGGTGCCTCTACCTGCTGTCCCCCGAACCCTGGTTCCCTGGGTCCCCTCCCTGCCCTGTCTATATGATGCCCCCCACCCCTGGTTCCCTGGTGCCCCTCCCTGCCCTGTCTAACTGCTGTCCCTGCTCTACCAGCTGACCACCTTCTGTCCTTTACCTGGCCAGCAGTCAGCCCTTCCTCCTTCTCCAGCTCCTTGGACAGGGCCGTGAGGTCCAGCTGTGGATCTGGGGAAAGCAGTTCTTCCAGGAATCTGGGGTGAATGATGGCCTCCGCCTAGAAAAGATGGAAGATGTCCATGATCATCCTTGCATGAAGCATCTGAGATGATGGGAACTTGAACAGAACCAGAGAGCAAGGACGACCCCATCACTGTTCACACTCTGGGGTTGTAAATAAGTGGGCAGTCAGCTTCACTCACTCCCTAACTCCCTCAGGAACACAAAGGCAGTGGTGAAGAACTTGAATTTGGCTTAAGGGCCTGGCAGGGTCAATTTTTGGATCTTGCATCCCAGTGCCGCATCCCAGCCCACCTTGGTGACAAAATCCACTTGGGAGCATAGATGGTCAATGTAGGACAGCATTTCTGGGTCCGGGTATGACCCCTCATTCTCATCTGTGTCCTCTTCTGGGTGGCCATCGGGAGGCTCCAAGGACAAGGGTGTTGGCCCCAGCAACGTGTCCATGATTTCCATGTACTCCTTCACGGCCTCTGGCGGGATCTCCTTGGGTGTCCTGTCCTGAGGCCCCTGGTGTCTGGGTGGCACTGGACAGGCAGGCAGGGCCTTGGAGCTGGCTTTCCTGGGGGCACACCCTGTGGATGGGGAACATGGTGTGAGTACAGGGGCCCCAGTGTCATGTCAGCCGCAGTGGGGTGGACAGTTGTTGGGGGACAGGAGTGGTCATGCTGGGCCAGGAGACCCTGACAACAGCACCAAGAGAGGAGATGGGGCCGAGAGGTGGAACACCTGAGTCACCAACACTCTGTGTTCTTATCTCCAGACCCCATCCTGGCCAGAGTTTGCTGGCTCCTTGGGAAGCTAAGGGATGAGGGGCACTATGACTGTGGCACGAAAAATCCCCAGGTGATGGCCCAAAGCAAGTGGGCCGCTGGGCTGTCCGTGGGACATTCTGCACAAAGGAACACATGTTGCTCTTGAAGGAAAAGGCACAGATGAGGGGACAAAGGATCCTGGGGTTGCATTGGCCTCTGACATGGACTGTGTTGGGACAGGGGAGACTGTACCTGGCTGCTGGACAGCCACAGGGGCTGGGGGCCCTTGAGGAAGCAGTGGTGGTGAGACCGGTGGGGGCTGGCAAGGTTTCCCCTTCATCCACTCCAGCTTCTGCATCTGCATCTCCTCCTCTTCCTCAAACTCCATGAACCTGAGCATGGGGGAACAGGCCAAACGTGAGGGGCCCACGCCCTGACAACGATCTGGCGGCAGCTGGTGGCAGACACATGCACGTGTCCCTTGGGGTCAGCAAGGCCCAAGTCTGGTTAGTCCCACAGGGGCAAAACATGCTGGGAACAGTGCTCTGTCTGCCCTGCACGGGCAGGTGACGTGTGTCTCTGATCCCCTGCAGGCCCAGTTAACAAAGGCACAGCAGATCTCACCACTTCCATGCCTGGTCTGGCCCCACACAGAGCCCCAAGTAGGGCTGACTCCAGAGGCTGCGCGAAAGGACATTTATCACAAGCTCTTTTGGGTCCTAGTTCAGAATCAAAGATCCTGAGCCCGAGACTGTGATCCTTGTAGGGGGAGCAGGGGATTCGGGTCCAGGGGCAGGCAGGAGGATGGGAGGCCTGGCTGAGAGGTGGGCATGGCCTCTGAGTGCTGTGTGTTTAAACTTATCATACTGCATGAACCGGCAGAAATGCAGACAGGGCCATGCATCTGAGACACCAGATCCCTGAGGACACACTCTGGGCTGCAGCACATTCTGGGATGGCGTTTCACCGTGACAACACATCTGTCCACAGCCCCCTCTCCAGGGTGTGAGGCAGACGCTCCGATGGAGGTCGTGCCGTGTGCAGAGTCCTCGTGCTGGGAGGACAGCACAAGGGCTGCGCTGGCTGCTCCACCTCAACCTTGAACGTCAGAGCCTCGGTAGCTCAGACACAGATGGGGAGGACTCCCGGGGAGGAGAGCGCATGGACCCCTACATCCAGGTGGTGGGGCAGTATCCTGGAAGAGCAGGGCCCATGGAGGGCCTGATCCAAGGAACGGCGTACGTGTGCTGACTCGTCCAGCCCCTCAGGCCCAGCCTCCCTCCCCAGCCTCCTCCACCACACAGCACCGGGACCCGGACTCCCAACTCACTTTTCTGCCATCTCGTAGAAGATCATGCGGTCGAAGTTGCTCTTGTGCTGCCATTCGCGCATGGCAAACCGCAGGCCCTCCTCCAGCGGCATGGTGGGCCTCCGCTGGGCCAGGGTCCGCAGCACGGGGCTGGAATTAATTCCCCGGAGTCAGTGAAAATGCACTAGCCCACCCTGCCGCCTGAGCTCAGGGGTCTGACTACTGTGCTGGGGTCTCCCTTTCCCTCTGTCCCTGTCGTGTCCTCCTCCAGTGTGGGCTCTCCAGCCTCCTGGCCACCTCTCATCTGGGGGACACCCCCTCCCAGGGCTGTGCTGGCCTCTCTGTCTCCCTAGTGCGGCGTCAGTATCACTGTGCAGCATGAATTGGATGCTTGTGTCCCCTAAACACATGTGTGCAGGGCCTAATCCTCAGTGTGATGGGGTCTGAGGTGGTGGCTGGTGCAGTTAGGGTTAGGAGAGGTGCTAAGGCTGCAGCTCCCGTGATAGTACTGGTGTCCTGGAGGAGCAGCAAGACACGCCATAGCTCTGAGACTCAGATGAGACAGTGGGAAGGGCCTGTCTCAGGAAGAGGAGCAGCCTCCCTGGAACCTGAATCCAGCCATGTCCTGTGCTCAGTCTTCCAGCCTCCAGACATGACACATGGACATCTGTGGCTGGAGCTGTCCAGTGTGTGGCCTTGTGCAGTGCAGCCCAAAGGGAGAAGCGCACAGAATGATCTGACCTGGGTGCCAGGGCTCTGGTGCGGGCTCCTGGCCCCAGGGCTGAGTGTGTAACCTGCTGTATAGTTGCTGGCCAGAGGCCGCACTGGAGTTGGGACCTCAGAGCTCCTGGGAGTGGGGAGAAGGAAGGGAGCCATGCAGGCTGTGCCCTGATTAGGGGACCAGGGCTCAGTGCATGGGGACTGAGTTGGGGGTGATGTGCCTCCTGGGCAATGATGAGTGTCCAGAGCTGCAGGGAGATGGAGACATCAACACCAAGGTGTGGAGACTGCTTCCAGCTGCAGGCTGAGTGATGATTGGGTAGGAGGTCAGAGGTGGGCGCGACATGGACGCAGTGCCCTGCTCAGTGGAAGGTGGCTGTGTCTGTCGTCATGGTGGTAGACAGGAGGAGCCAGGCCCGAGTGGTCAAGAAAGTGGAGTGTGCCACTGCGGGGAAGGCTCCCTCTGGTTTGGTCCCCAGCCCCCAGACAGCGGCCTGCGTTCTTGCCTTAGGGGCTCAGAGTCCAGTCACAGCCTTGACTGTGGTGTTCTTGACCTCATTGCCTTTCCTCATGGCAGCATGACCATAGTCATTTCCTGAGACAGAGCATGTGCCTGCCTGTGCCAAGCTCAGCAGGTTCAGCTGCCGTGCCCTTCAGCTCCCTGGGAACGGGTGTGAGCGTCTCCTCCCCTGTGAGGGCTCTGGGCTGTCAGTGCTGGCCCGGGACAGAGTCTCGTGCTGGGGCCCCAGCGTGCCCCTGGGTGGGTTCCCACCACCTGCTGTCTTCCTGGAAGTCCCGGGAAGAGTGAGGGCTGGGCTGTGTGTAAGACTTCCCTCCTCATCGCCCCTCACGTCAAGTCCCTGAGGTCTGTGACCCTCTGTGTACGATGCCGGTGGTGGACAGGGATTGCTGTGTGGACTCAGACTCAAACCCCACGGTGGCTCTTGTGATCCCAGGACCTGCTCTGATCTTGAGTGTTCTGTAAGGGTCACCCTGGAAATGGTGGAAATGTAAATGTTATCACAGGATAGCTAAGATCCAGTGGGGAAAGGCCCTGGAATCGTGTCACAGACAGCATGAGGTATCATGGCTGACAACGGAACTGCATGTGGTCTCTCGATTGCCTTCAGGGTCTTCCTGTGGGAGCCCTTTTAGCCTGTGTTGCCCACCCCTGATCCTCCCAATGCACTGCCCCAGGCCCTGGGCATGGGTACTCACATGAGGAAGCAGGACAGAGCTTCTGTGTCAGGGCTCTGGGGCAAGAGCCTCCGGGCCAGGGCCTTGAAGTGCTGCCAGCGCCGGAAGTTCTCGTAGACGCTGGTGGAGCTGCAGGGGTCGTCTGGTGAGGCTTGGGCCTTGGGAGTAGGCAGGATGCGCTCCCTGTCTGCCCCTTGTGGTGGTGGCCCGTTGTTTGCTGGGAAGACCATCGGGGCCAGCTGGGCAGCTGGTGGTGGAGCTGGAGGAGGGCGGCCCAGAGGCCAGCCCCCCTGACTGGCCTGGGTTCCCACCATGGGAGGTGCAGGCACTGTTGCCTGCAGGGAAGACCCGGGCACTGCTATGGGAGCAGGGTTCTGCCCTGGCCCACAGAGGCCCCCTGGGGCATTCAGGCTGATACAGGTTTGGTTGTAGACCAAGGTCTGAGAGTGGGGGGGCTCCACTGGCTGCCCTCCTGTCCTCAACTGGAATATGATGTGGACATTCCCAGCCCCAGTTGGGCCAGAGCCACCATCTCCTGCCACCACGGGCATCCTGGGGATGGCAGCAGGCAGCACGAGGCGGCTGCCTGGAGGGAATGCGGCATTCAGGAGGGGTGGAGGGGGCTGCCCCCAGGGTGGCTGGGGTGCGGGGCCGTGGGTAGGTTGGGGAAAGGGCAGCAGTGTGAAGAGAGACGTGGAGGTGCCTGGGTGCGGGATCATGGCTGTTCCCAGCCCTGGAGATGCTGTGGAGACAAAGGAGAGGGGTGAATGGAAATGGGGAACCGATTCTCAATACCCTTCTCGAATACCAGTTCTCAAGTACCCGTCTCTGCCAGGATGGAACACTGAGCTTTCATTGCCCCCAGAGTCACCCAGGGTGACTCCCAGTTCTATAGTGTCTCCCACACCTGGATCAGCATGCCTCCCTAGCAGCACTGGGCCCCTCAGTACTCCACAGCTGGCCAGGGAACTTATACAACTGTGGTGCCACGTGCCCACCTGGCCTAGGTAAAGCCAGCTGATTCACAACACCGTGCCCAGACCCCACCTAAGGCTTCTTTAACTGACACTTCTTAGTGGAACCCTTTCCTTAAACCCTAGCACAAGAAGGTCAAAGGTCTGGGAAGAAATCTCTCCCTACCATGGCCTTGTGATTCATGAGGATAACCTTGTGACCTCTGAGTGTAACATCATCCTCTTAAAAGGGCCCTGCCGAAACCACAGGGAGCAGATATTAGCCGCCCCTGGTTGCAGGGCCTGGTGGTCCCTCTGGCCACGCTAGAAGCTGTGTTCCCTAGGAACAGGACTGCTAGGAGGATGTTGGTCCCTTGAGATGGTGTCCTCACACAATCAGTGATGGCTGCATAGGGTTAGAAAGTCCGCAGGGTGGTGACTGGTAGGGGTGTCTGGGAGGTGTCCAGGATTTCGTAGTTTCTAAAGGGTCAGGTCAGAATTGGTTGAGGGAATGGTGACTCTCTGGGATTGTTCCTTTTGCTCTCAGTGATGGAAAGCGAAGGCTTGAGGAGTAGGCTTGAGTCAGGGAGTTGGGGGGACAATATGTACTGGGACACATCCCTGACCAGGAACCACACCGAGCCCAGTAAATGACAACAGGCACCGTGCACATGTGTCTAAGGATCAGGACCCGTGTCCTCACATTGAACATAACCTTCCTAACTGCTACTCTCCTTCCTTTAATATGAAAACAGGTGTGGTGTTTTGGCACAGTGAGTTAAGCTGCAACTTGGCATGTCCACATCCCATATTGGAGCTTGTTTTCGTCCTGGCAAACTGTACTTCTGATCCCACTTCTTGCTAATGTGAGAAGGGAGGCAGAAGATGAAGACATAGCACATGAATTCCTGACCCTTGCTGGAGACTCTGGCAGTGTTCTGGGTTCCTGGCTTTGACCTTGCCCAGCTCTGATTATTTCAGACACTGGGGGAGTCAACAGTGGATGGAAGATGTCGATATCTCCCTCGGTTCCACCCCCTCTCCCTCTCTGTTTCTCTCTCTGCTCTCCCTCCCTCCCTCCTTTCTCCTCTCTCCCTCTCTTTTTTCTCCCTCTCCCCCTCTTCCATTGCTTGTCAAGTCCCCACTGTCTCCCCTCCTCTGTCACTCTGCTACTCAAATAAATCAGCTTTGTGAAAATAAAGATGGAAAACAGCATGCACTGAACTTCCTGTGGAAGTCCAACCACTCTGCCCAGCTGACCCTGTCTGTGAAGTACAGACTGGAGTCCGTGCACTGCCTTCATCTTTATGGAAAGTCCTGGGCAGAGGCCACCATGAGATGTAGGATAACGTGGGTGAAAGACTTGTGTTTCCACTACAGGAGGAACAATGCAGACCACTTTGGGGAACCCCAGCCTTCTGTTGGCTGATGTTGATTGCCATTCCTGTCCTTGCAGAATTCAGAAAAAAAAAAAACAACTTTCCTGGAGTGAAAGAAACCACTACTGGGCAGGAAGCAGAGAGCTGGGAGGATCTGGGCGGTGTAGGTTGGGGTAATTTCCAGCCTCACTCAAGGAAGAGTGGGTAAAGGGGAAGGAGCCAGGCCGGCGCCGCGGCTCACTAGGCTAATCCTCCGCCTAGCGGCGCCGGCACACCGGGTTCTAGTCCCGGTCGGGGCGCCGGATTCTGTCCCGGTTGCCCCTCTTCCAGGCCATCTCTCTGCTGTGGCCAGGGAGTGCAGTGGAGGATGGCCCAGGTGCTTGGGCCCTGCACCCCATGGGAGACCAGGAAAAGCACCTGGCTCCTGCCATCGGATCAGCGCGGTGCGCCAGCCGCAGCGCGCCGGCCGCGGTGGCCATTGGAGGGTGAACCAACGGCAAAGGAAGACCTTTCTCTCTGTCTCTCTCTCTCACTGTCCACTCTGCCTGTTAAAAAAAAAAAATTAAAAAAAAAAGGGGGGGGAAGGAGCCCAACTGATCAGTTTCATGGCTAAGCCCATTTCATCACAGCATCCTAATACCTAGGATACCCCTGTCTAAACCCTCTGAGCCCTTTCAAGGGCTGGCTCCCTGTGACTGAAAGGGTAGGCTCAGCTGTGCCCTGAACCCTCTCTCTGCCTTCACCTCATCCCTGCCCATCCTCGCACTACACCCCTTAGACTGAAGTGACCTGTGTCCCTGTCCTGGTTTACAGAGAATGAATCCATTTGCTCCCGTCTCTTCTACTGATCAGTACACTTCCTGTGGGGCATCTTGATCCACCTGTACGTGGCCAGTAGTCTCCCCAGTCAGCAGTGTCCGTTCAACATGGGCTTCCACAGCCTCCCCAGATAAGATGTCCTTGTGGACATCCAGGGCTCTGTGTTTCCTGTACTTCAGTCCAGTCAGCTGTCCCCAGGGGGTGTGTCACATGTGAGTTCCCAAGTATGTGAGTAGTGGCAGGGAATCTGGTTAAACAGCCCCACCCCTACAGACTTACCTCCTCCTGAAGCTCTCCCCACAGGCTTGGACACTCAGCACAGCCTCCTCAATGAGAGAAGCAAGTTCAGGACCCAGCAGTGAGCTGGCTGCTCAGGGTCCAACTGCAGCAGCTGGGGCAAGTTTAAAGGTAACAGGAATGGAATGTGGGGCTCAGGCTTCTCTGGTGGGGGAGGGGTGGCAGGAGAGCAGCCTGGGTGGGGGTGGGGAGACATTCTGAGGCTCCTGCAGTGGGGCAGAATCTCAAGTTCTCTTGATTTTGAACTGCGGCAAAACAGCTGATGTGAGCTCCTCAGGCAGTGTTAAAATAGTCTCTGATTTCCAGCACACCGACTGTACTTGGTTCCTCCTTAACATCTGTTCCTTATCGATATACCTGCTCTTGGTTCCTAGGCCACCCTGCTTCCCACCTGTGGAGGAAGGTAGGCTCTTAGCTACACTCAGGGAGGCACTTTCTCATCCAGTTTCAGAACACATGATGTGATCAGCACAGGCCTGCTCAGGGAGAAGAGGGGACCAAGTGTCTGAAAACAAGGTACCAGCGGATCAGAGATAGTTGCAGTGTGTGCACTTCATCCTGAGGCAGGCAGTCTTGCATCCCCAAGTCCTGTCCACTGCTGAAAATGCATTTCCTAGGAAAGTCTGACTTCTGATCCCCTTTGTTGGAACGCCTCTGTCCATCAAGGACTGATATTGAAGCTTACAGACTAACTCAGATTCCCCTCCCCAATGTTATATGGTACTTACAGTGTTTGTTGTGAAATGTATGCTGTTTGTCCTTTTAATGCTTTTCATTGAGTATTGTAACGTGCAAAAATTTTTTGTATTTCAAAAGTTGAATGCAATACATAGGGATGGGGCTTCCTCCTAAGAAAGTATCCTGGTCACTATTTCCCTTCCACAGGAAATTTTTGAGATGTGTACATTTTTATCTAAAACTATACAACAGGAGTTTTGGTTTTGAAAATACTTTCAATTAGTTTCTGATAGTTAATTTTACTGGTGTGCAGAATGAATCTCTGTGTTACTTTTGGTTACTTTCTTTGATTTGTAGGATAGGTATTTAGAAAAAGTGGGTCTTTATCTCACAAATATTGCAGGTACTCCTGATGGTGTTGAGTCTAGCAGTTCAGATGTCTCCTTCCTGTACTGGAGTAATTGGGCCTTCCAGGATTCTTCTGATGTGCACCCTGGGAGAACACAGATGATGCCTCAAGTTGTTGGGTTCATGAATCCAGGTGTGACTCGAAAAGAACTGAAGTTCCATGCACCTAGCTCCCGCTTGGCCTAGCCCTGTAATTGAAGTCACCTGGAGAATAAATCAGGGGCTAGCAGCCTCAGTCCTCTGTAGCATGAACCACCCATTGACACTCAACAATGTTTTTATTCTTGAGGCAAGCACTGGAAATAGGTCTACCAAGATGTTCAGAAAATATGGGAGCAATTCAAGCAAGGTAACAGTGATTGGCAAAAAAAAAAATATAATAAAAATAAAAATAAAAAAAGAGGTGTGACTTTAAAAATAAACAAGAGCCCTTGCAAAGACTTGTATTTTTATCGTGGGCACCTTACATGGTGTTCAAACAATAACTTCATATTGGAGGGAGGGTTGATGAGGTCACGTTTTGTACTCAGGAACTTAAGGAATGCGTGTTTCTTTGTTGTAAAATTACCCATATACCACCTGGTATTTTTTAATTTATGTGGTTCAAATTGTCACGATTTGGGAGGTCAGAAATTTTCAGCGAAGGCATTTGTGAATCACTGTTTATTTAAAATTCCCTGTATTATATAAATTCCCCAAGTACATTAAATGCCTTAGGAATAACTAAGAACGGAGCCAGGAGCCCGAGTCCCTCAGTGTTTCCAGGTCTAAAATTCTTGGCCAGACTGTTCTTCCATGGAACCCAGGCGGACTGGGAAGAAAGGAGGCAGCGTTTGTGGGAGGCGCGGACAAGCCTCAGAGTCCTGCAGTCCGGAGAGGCTGCAAGCGCTGACCCCAGTGCAGGGGACCCCGCTCTAGGGTGCAGCCCTGGGAAGAGCCCTTCCCTGGGGTGCACGTGCCTGGGTGGACGTCTGCCCTCTTCCAAACCATCTGGGGTCGTTTCAGACGCGCTAGTTAACAGAGAAACGGCCACAAAGATTCCAGGAGGACTCGCCTGGTCAGCGGAAGAACCTCAAAAATCTGCCTAGACCACATATTGTCTCCCTGCACTCCTAGCTTTGGCGCGCACTCGGCACGCATGCGCACGCCCTCTGGGCGCGCCGGCTTCCCCGCGTGCTCCAGTGGCCCTCCAACGTCTCCCAGCATCCGTTGCGGGCGTCCAACCCAGGTGATGCGCAGGCGCGAGGAGAGCGCATGCCCACGGAATCGCGGCCATGGCGGCGCCCGAGAGTCCGTTACTTAGAAGGTAATGGACCCCAGCCCCAGTCTTGCCGAGCGGTTGTTCCCGCTCTGCGGTGGGCTCACCCGTGGTCTGTGCGGCCCAGCGGCCCGCGTGTCCCGGTGGCTGCGGAGCGAGCGAGCGTTTAAACTGCGGAATTTGGCCCTGGTCCTGGCAGGGCGCTCCCGTGTCTGGCGATGCCTGAACCTGACGTGAGGGGGCTTTAGTACCGCAGGCGACCCTCCGTGTGTCCCGGCGGTGTCGCTGGCACTCTGAGCAAGGCTGAGGCTGGGGAAGCGTCCTCGGGACGGAAAACCCTGATGCAGTCCAGCAGGTAGCTCGGGCTGCTGACAGTGCGTGCCGTCCTCAGGTGCATCCTGTGTGACCTGTGGACGTGCTGCAGCTGAGAAGTGGAGCACTCAGGTTCAGTACGGAGAGGTGGCAGTGATGTGAGCAGCCTGCCTCAGTTGAATAGTAAGCTTCAGTTCCGAGTCTGGTGTCACATCACGGTTGCCTGGCCTGCATGCAGGGTTTCAGCAAACATCTTGTGTGCATGAAATTTACAATAAAGGAGGTTGTACACTGTATGGTTTGTGACTTCTGTGCTGCTCACCTGTTAGATCAGTGCCACTTACTGCACACCGGTAAGGGTGTATTCATGGTTTGGGGGTCAGTGTGTGTATTAGAGCTGTAGATTTTCTTGTTTATTTGGCCCTGTGAGAATAGTGGGGTGGTTGTATCTGAAAGTGTGTTGTGTTTGCGAGTGTTCTGGTCCCATACGAATTCAGGGAACGGATTTGATATTGTCTTTAATTAGGGTGTTTTTTGTTTCAAGCAAACAAAAGATCGTTTAATTAGAGCAAAATTATGCGTTTCAAGGACTACTTAGAAAGTACTGTAGTTAGCTTTATCAAGTAGATGTACTTGCCTGTGGCTTCTGAATCCAGTTTCCTGTAAATGCATACTCTGAGAGACAGGAGTGATGATTCAAGTGGTCGGTTCCATGCCACCTGTGTCGGAGACTTGGATTGAGTTTCTGGCTCCAGCGTTGTCCACCAGTGTTCTGTAGAACTGTCCATGCTCTTCCTTTGTGGCCTTAGTTTGAATTCCCCTAGGAAAAGACCTGGTGACAAATGAATGTAAGCTTGTTTTGGAAGCAAAAGAACAGTAGAGGAATGGGGGAATGAGCAGGGATTGCAAAAGAATCCCAAATGTGAGAGTGAGCAGCAAATTTCCTCTTTAAGTAATTAGGGTTGATTTCAGCTGGGAAACTCTGGTAGCCAGTGCAGCAGATGGGCCTCAGAGTTATCCCAACCACAGAATGAGAAAGCTACCGAAATTATCTACCTGCTCCTGCCCATCGCTGGTGGAGAGCAGCAGGGGATCAAGAATGAAGAGTTAGTTGTCTGGTCCTTTCATCCTTTCCTGTTCAGGCAGCTTGAGCTCAGAGGGATTTGAGCTCAGATCCCTCAGGAAAGAGGTGTGGGAGCTGACAGTATGAAGGTGGCCAGCACACCTACACTGATACAGCTGGGAGAGACACAGGTTTCTATGATGGAATGTAGGTGTGCTTGAGGTGGGTCAGAGAAGCTTCCTTCCTATCTCTTAACCACCTCTGTGTTCACTGGCATTAGGTTGCTAGCTTGTAGTTGGTATACTGGGATATTTAAATCAAGTAGACATCACCAATCTTTATATATAACAAGACCGTTATATCTCCAGGAGGAACATTATGAAACACAGACTGCATGGCATGGGTGCACACACAGACACACACAGAGCTGCATTTGGACACAAAGTATACTTTTAGGTTAGCAGCTTATCAAAGCATAGCTTTATTTGTGTGTGTCTGTATGTGACAAGGAAACAGCGGGCTGCCTTGCAATAAACATCCAACATGTACAACATGAGGAGCTGGAGGCACTTCCTCTTTCAGCAGCATACACCCTAGTACATTGTATATTCCAGAACCTGACGTGCAGCCTTCCTCCTTAGTGGAGTTCTGGCCTCCTGTGAGTACAGTGTTGCAAGAATGAACCTTCCTCAGAGTGCTCTGAAAAACAGCCAGTGAGGGATGAACTCCTTCAGAGTCACTGCTCCTGTTCCTGTGTTCCCCTCTTGAAGAAATCCTACTCTTTGGCTACAAAACCTGAGACCTGGCACTTATTCTTGAGGACTAGGAGAGAAAAGCCATTTTTTTTCCTGTTACTCTCTCCAGATGCCTGAGATAGGAGCATCTTCCCGTTGAGGGACACACTTTAATGCTACACGATTAAGTCAGCAGGAGCAGTTCATAGACCCTTCGTAACATGAGAAGGCATTTGGAAGTGGCCTATGAATGTGTAAGAGCTTAGATATCACACAGAGTCGTGAGGATATCTATTGATTGGTAAGGGTAGGCTCAGCAGCTTCTTCACTTTGGTATGGTGAACCTAAGCATTAACCTTCATATTTTTTTAAAGATTTATTTATTTACTTGTAAGTCAGAGTTACACAGAGAGAGGAGAGGAAGAGAGACTGAGGTCTTTCATCCGCTGGTTTGCTCCCCAATTGGTTGCAATGGCCGGAGCTGTGCTGATCCGAAGCCAGCAGCTCCTTCAGGTTTCCCACGTGGGTGCAGGGGCCCAAGGACTTGGGCCATCTTCCACTGATTTCCCAGGCCACAGCAGAGAGCTGGATTGGAATGGAGCAGCCAGGACTCAAACTGGCACCCATATGGGATGCTGGCACTGCAGGCGGCGCCTTTACCTGATATGCAGAGC